AATTATCAGTTCCCAGAGGAAAACAAATGCTAGAACCTTATGGCCTCACCACAAGATGAGAGGTAACGTAACCGTAGCAGCATCTGTCAGGGACCCGCCCACACTCCTCACTTACCTGTTCAGCACACACAACTGTCTTCCAGCTGCCAGTACCTGCATTTCTTTGACCGGGGGACTTTCTGTTGTTGTTGCTTTAGTCTGCTTTGTCACCCAAGTGGCAGAACAGAAGTGCCAGAGAATTAACACAACCAAGAACAGCCTTCACCCAGTAACTGATGGGATTTGACGTACAAATACTCCAGCTTCCTCACCTCTCAAATGGGTTAACTCAGACACGTATCTTACACGGGCTCCCCGAGCTTCCCGTAGAATATTAAGCTCCAGTCTAGCACAACAGCAAATTGCTTGACAAGACACTCTTTATTGGCTGTGAAATCAGTGCCTTACTATGTATATGTACTTTATATTTAATATTTCACCAGGTTAACTCTAGAACTCTTTAAAGTAGACCGAAATAGAAGAATCTGAATCAGAGTTCAGAATAACCTTAACCTTTGCTCAAGGTCACAGAGCAAGCCATGACTGTAACACAACTCAGTTCAGAATCTGTGTTTCTTCACCAAAGGACAGAACAATGGGGTGAAATTCCATTCATATTATAGTATAAGGATTATATCTCAAACTTACAAAAAATATAAAATCCTCTTATTTTCCTTTCCAAAGGAAACTGACTTGAAAAAAATTTTCTAATGCAAACTAGTCTCTCAAGCAAAAGTTATTTTTAAAAGATATCAGTAATGTCATTATCAATAAACTATTGCCTACATTTTTGGAGGGAAGGGAAAAGGGGCAAGTCAAATATATATTTAAAATAACAATGGTAATAGAAATGGCTAACGTGAGTGCTTTCCAATTTCCTAAAACAATTACATTCCTTCACAGCTAAATTTCCTGATAAGATTGAATAAATTTGTTTTCTTATCAGGGATGTAAACTAAAAACAAAAAAAAAAAGAATAGAAGACATTTATAGTAATGTAATTTAAGATTTTTAAGACATATTTTACTTATCAATTTTAAAGTTGCAAATGTTAAATATTATAATAATTACTTTTTAATGTCCATATTTTGGTATATTTCATTCATTCATTCATTCATTCATTGAACACACATTCATGCTGGTTCTAAGATGTGTAAGATATATTTTGTGGCCAGTTTGATACCAGAGACAAAGGAAGAAAGGGGGGAAAAATCAAATAAAGATAACTACAAAATGGAAGAAGAAAAGATAAATATACAGAGAGAAATTTCAGATTCCCAACCCCAATTTTCTTATCTTCACAACTACATATACAAATAGAGAAAGATTCATTCATTCACCCAACAAATACCAAACAGCCACTAAAAAGTAGACAGCAGTGCGGCCAGCCCAGTGGCATAGTGGTTAAGTCCGCACACTCTGCTTCAGCAGCCCAGGGTTCACAGGTTTGGATCCCAGGTGTGGACCTATACACAGTTCATCAAGCCATGCTGTGAAGGTGTCCCACATACAAAATAGGGGAAAACTGGCACAGATGTTAGCTCAAGGCCAATCTTCCTCACCAAAAAAAAAAAAGTAGACAATGCTAGGTAGTGGGTATACAATGAGAGAAAAAGTAGTACTCGTTCGGAAGTTCCTTAAAATTAAGCTGAAGTCAGCTTTAGTATTTGCCACTGAATCTTACAATTTGAGAAGTCTATTCATATTCAGGAGAGAGAATGAAAAGAATGCGTTAGTACTCACCTCAAAATTTAGATCCACAAAATGCACCCTTTTTATCTATTTTATGTTTAATTCTGAACTTTATTCGTTAAAAATATTCATCTATGTTTGAAAAATGAGCTTTCAGAGATGTGAGAAGAAAGTAAAAATAAAAGAAAAAATTAACTCATCAGGATGTTTTAAATTATAAAATGAATTTAACAACTTGAAACAGATCTAATTCCAATTTAAAAAACCATTTTTGTACTCACATCAAAAGATACAAATAATTAATGCTGTTATTTGTTCCAAATTCAATGTCAAAATTAATAAAATGTTGCGAAACAATCTTTCCCACAAAAAATCTATTAGCATTAGTAAAAATATTCAAAATTTACTATCTAATTTTGGGGGAGGTATATAAAATCAAGAAATGTCAAATAGAGTTCAAATAGCTAAATACAAAGCAACAAACAAAAAAACCCAGACAGTTATCAAATAATTCAATGAATTAAGGAATTTAGAGAGTTATTATATAAATTTAGTAATATTGATTTGAATTGATCAGATGAGTGTAATCTTAGAACAAAGTGTATTTGATCTGTGGAAATACAGATATGAGCTTTAATAACCAAGGCATCATAATATTAAATGGTCAATAATGCAAGAGGCTAGAAGTTTATCTTAAAGAATATTAAACTTACTAGATTCATTATTTTCCTAAAATGCATGTCTAGCATCCCTGAAGCCCTTCCAGTTGATTACGGGAAGAAAGAAAGCTAGAATGAGAAATAAACTTTCCAAGCCTGATCCCAAATTTTTTTCCAGGCTACTTTACTTCAATTTTCCTCAATAAACTGGTAGAGTTAACAAGAAAAGAGATGATATGTATATTGCTTGATGCTTTGTATAAAAATTTTTTCCAAAAGTTTGAATTTCCCTGTCTGTGTATGTTTTATAGAAATGTCTGAACTTACTGTTTTCTCACTAAACTCCAGAAGTAAATGCAAATCTTAAAACAAAATGTTTTCAGCCATCAGTAATTATATGCTTAATATATAAGAGATCTTTTTAAAGTATAAAATGTGGTTTCCACCCTTACTAGGTGTTGAGTTATTAAGACTAATAGATAAATTAGCAAATCACATAGGACAAAATATGATTTAATGGTAAATGTTATGGCAGATTAAGTGCTGTAGGAGATCAATGAAACAGAATATTAATGAAAGTCAAAATAATCTAGAAAGACAAGATTTTCTTATTTCTGTTTCTAGCTTAAAAGAGGTGAACTTGCCAGTCAGCTCTTCTCAACAAAAAGTAAATCATTTACTAAATTTATCTACTATATTTTATTAAACTGAATTACTTCAAAAGCATTATAAATATAAAAATGGATAAATTTCTGGACTACTTTCAGAACACGTGCTTAATCATTCTTGTGGTTACAAGCATCAGTGATATAATGCTGACAAAGTTGCATGGCCCAACAAAAAGAACGTGGGTTTAAAGTCTCATACATGGACAAGATTCCTAGTCTACCACTTACTTGCCTTTTGGCCACGGGCAAGTGACTTAACCAAGGTGAGCCTGTTTCTTCTTAAGTAAAATAAATATAACAACAATTACCTCCCATAGTTGTTGAAAGGATTGAATAATATATCATATGTAAAATAAATAGCACAATGCCAGTCAGAAAACTAATATGTGCTCAATAACTATTAGCTCCCACATTCAAATATATTTCAAATATAGTGATAACAGAACACCCAAAGACTGGAATGCTCACTTTGCTTTACATTTTATCCTCACTATAAAAATTAATATAATACTGATCTTCTATTTATTAGTAAAAATTAATGTGCTGTTTCTAATTCTATAATGATTCTCATTCATCTTTGAGAATTTTATAAAAATGATGGACTTCCTCCTCCCAAAATACTATATACAAACATACACACACACACACAGAGTAGTTTGCATCAATTTAGAGATATTAACAGATTCCCTGACCCTGAAAGCTAGATTAAAAACTATGCTTTATCTGGCTATTTAAATAAAATTCAAATTAAATAAAAATTGAGGGGCCAGACTGTGGCATAGTGATTAAATTCGTGCACTCCACTTCAGCAGCCCAGGGTTCACAAGTTCAAATCCTGGGTGCAGATCTGGCACCACTCGTCAGGCCACACTGTGGCGGCATCCCACATAAAACAGAGGAAGATTGGGTCCAGCATGATGGCACAGTGGTTAAGTTCTCGTGCTCCACTTCAGCAGCCCAGGGTTCACCAGTTCGGATCCCTGGCGCAGATCTACACACCACTTATCAAGCCATGCTGTGGTAAGCGTCTCACATATAAAGGAGAGGAAGATGGGCATGGATGTTAGCTCAGGGCCAGTCTTCCTCAGCAAAAAGAGGAAGATTGGTGGGAGATGTTAGCTCAGGGCTAATCTTCCTCAAAAGAAAAAAAAAATAGAGGAAGATTGGCACAGATGTCAGCTCAGGGCCAATCCTCCTCACAAAAGAAAAACAAAGGAAAAACTCAGTTCCTCAGTTGCACTGGCCACATTTCAGGTGCTCAACAGCCACACGAGGTAGTGCCTAGTGGATAACACAGATATAGAACATTTCCATCATCTCAGAAACTTGCATCAGATAGAGCTGGAATGTTAACAAGGTTTGATAAGTAAAACTCTTTTTCTTTGTGTTTTTATTTTGCTTTTTTAAATATCTAGATATCCCTGTTTGAAGGAGATTCCCGAGAGGGTAAAGGCTGTGAATATTTGGCCCACAACTGAATCTCTAGGGTCCAGCACATAACAAGCATTCAATAACAAAAAAAATTAGCAGGTCAATTTATATGTACTCTCAACTGACAAACTCCTGAAGCCAATGAGGGCTCCCTATGTGAAGACTTCAAATTTTCTGAGTTTTAGCTATACATATTGGCTAGATCACTTAAGCAAAATTTTAAGCCTAGTCCATAGCCTATTGCATTCAAGAACAGAAAAAATGCTGCTAATTAGCTTTCATTATTCCTGGACAGAACAGTTGAGTAACTTATTTTTAAATAGTATGTATATATTCACACACAGTAGTTTAAAATATAGAATGTTTTAAAAATTCACCGAAGTCTTGTAACTTAAATATTATAGCATTAAGTTTTTAGAAAATCTATTTCCTTTCAACATATCTTGAAATCAAGACAAAATTGTTGCTATATACAGAACAGTAAAAGGTCTAATAATGATTTTGCACTTACACTGCCACATTTTTCCTAATGGTATATTCATCCAAATCGTCATCAGAGCTGCTATCAGTTGCATCAGAATCCAGACCCTCTTCAACATGAGACAACAGCCCTGTAGCAGACAGTGCAAATCTTTGGATTTCTGCAGCTGTACACTGTGCAAAGCCATTTTTTGTATCATTCCACAATTTATTCTCTGCAGTCAATATATTGACGTCTGGCTTAATTTCAGTGCATTTAGGTAAACTGTTCTCTAAAACTGTGGTAGGTTCATGAAAGATCTTCATTTTGGGGAGTTGATGTTTCATGGAAAATTTCATTTGCTGACCATAGTGCTTAACAACATGCTTTGCCAGGAGCATCTGCAGATGTTTCTGAGTTCTTCGAGCCTGGCTAAGTAAGACTTTCTGTTTGCTCACACAATGAAGTAAACGAGCATTCACTTCCTCCTCTTTCTCAGCAGCTGAGGAACTAGCAGGCACATTTGAGTGGCCAGGCCCCATTTTCTTTTGAGCACAGTGTAATAAACCCTTTTGAATCTCAGCATCAGTAACTTTACCCAAAAGTGCATTCTTTTGGTACCATTTACAGTTTTGCAGTTGCACATTAGTGTCTTTGGTTATATTTGAATCCAAAATAATTTGTACATCTGTCATGCACGGGCTTGTGGTATCTGACAGAGGTTCCTTTTTGATGAACTCTTCAGAATGAGAATGACAGATTTTACTGAGCTGAATGTTGCTGCCATTACACAGTATGTTTTTCAGCTTATTGCAGTTGGGTTCTCCTAATTTCTTTTGTTTATAATTCTCATTGTGTTTATTTAATGTAGAATTAGAACTCATTAAAAGAACTGTCTGATAGTGTTTTGAAGACTGAGGAGAGCCAAAATGTTTTAAATTCACAAAATTAGTGTTAAGGGTAGGTTCGGGAGTTGGAAATCCCAGCATCTGAGAGAAAGCATCTCCCTTTAGCTTTTCATCTACAGTTCTTGGACTTTCCACGCATAGCATCTTGTCAGACTCCATGGTACTTGGTAAAGATGAAAAGTAGATACCCTTTGTTGCTGCCTCCCTCAGAGCTGGGGTCATGGCGAATCCTGCAGATAATTACTGGAAACCTAAAATAATGTAAAAATAAATGATCAAATGTCTAGAAAAAAAGTTTTATCCTTATACTTTTTCCAAGGGCAACATTTTCAATGTTTCTGATCCATTCTGGTGAATGGAACCAAACTCCTCCTTTATTTCCCAACTCCTAACATTATCTCTGCTCTTTCCTAGCTCATAAGGAATTCAACAAGGACTAAACTATTCTTTGCTCTAACTGTGAGCCTAATACTCCATACTCCAATTAGTTGCACGCAACCTAGCACAATAAATGTGAGACAAATATGTTTGGATGTAATTACATCTCAAGATTCCAATTTTTTGGACAATGTTTAGTGAGAGTCAAAAGAAAAAAATTCCAACCTGGAATCTGGGACTAATACTTAAAAATGTGACTCAATCTCATACTTTCAGCCAAAAGCAAGAATTATTTATCTGTATAAAATATAACAAGTTGCTCAAAATCTCCACATCTCAATTTAAACTTCACAATCTGAACCGTATTAATAACAATAACTAAAATATGCTAAATAACGAAAATATGCTAAATAACGTAAGAGAACTGAACTACAAACAAAAAGGACATAATTTCACAGCCCTTAAAAATAATGTGATAGTGAGGGGGCCGGCCCAGTGGCGCAGCAGTTAAGTTTGCACATTCCACTTCGGCGGCCCGGGGTTCGCCAGTTCGGATCCCTGGTGTGGACACAGCACCACTTGGTAAGCCATGCTGTGGTAGGCATCCCACATATAAACTAGAGGGAGATGGGCACGGATGTGAGCTCAGGGACAATCTTCCTCAGCAAAAAGAGGAGGATTGGCAGCAGTTAGCTCAGGGCTAATCTTCCTCAAAAAAAAAAAAACAAATGTGATAGTGAAAACTCGCCTAACTGCAATGCGCAAAACTTACTCCTGAAAAAGCATCTGTAATCATTTTTTCCCTTCTCACAAACAGATAGTCATCAGTTATCCCTAGAAAAGCTGCTACCCTTGCCTGGAAAACAGTGGGGACTGTGACAGACGACTACTAAAGATTAATGTCACAATTAAACAAATTTCATCGTATTTTACCAAAAGAAAAAGTACAAAACAGTATATTCTGATTCATAGAAAAAGTTAATCCAGTACTATTGAAAACTATGAAGACTGAATGCTTAGTGAAAAAGTTTCATATCATTAACAATTATAAGTTTTTGAAGATATTTTGGAACCACTGTACTTCAAATTTTTGTTTCAACACACATAACAGTTAGTAGTTATTTAAATGGCCACACTCCCATATTGTATGTCCTCGGGTGCTAGCTGTAACTCTACATCCTTCGTTCCTATTTATAAACACAAAACCAAAAGCTGATTCTTTCCAAAGACAAACAAGAATGATCAAAAGGAAAAAAAGGCACAAAAATTTCTATGTAATTAAAAAAACCATACACAGGGTTAAAAAAAACGTGATGGGCTAGGAGACAATATCTGCGACATGTACAACAGACAAAGGATGAGTACTCCAGAATAGATAAAGAACCCACACAAATGGGGAAAGGATACAGCAGTCAAGCACTTCACAGATGAGGACATCCAGATGGTCATTAAACATATATACTCAGTCTCACAGCAATGAAGGAAATGTAGAGTAATAAAGAGACCAGTTTTCCAACCACCAAATTCAAGAATACTGTTTTAAGTCTGAAAATATCATTTATCATGGGAACGTAGATAAATAAGATTTCTCACATCTCTTTGGACTATAAATTGATTCAAGAATTTGACAATAATGTGGAAAATGTGTTTGTCACAGGTGCACAAGAGAGCAGTGTTTACAACAGCAAAACATTCTTTCAAAGCAACCTAGATATCTAACAATAAGAGAATGGATACTAAAATATGATGGAACACTATATAGCAGTTAAAAAAGAATGACATAGATCTCTATATATCAACATGGACACACCCTAGAAACAGTATAAAGTTAGAAAAAAAACACTTAAGAATATACATAGCATGGTATCATATAAATCAAATACAAACACAAAACCATACCATATATACACACAGTAATGTGTATTTGTGTTTACATGTTAATAAGAGTAAAAAATGAACCAGAAAAATATCCACCAAATTTGTAACAGTAGTTGCATCAGGTAAATTCCATGAAACAAAACTAAGACTGGCACTTTAAGAGTTGAGTTTTAACTACAAGTTTATTAATTGGGGGGAAAAGACTTAATGCAAAATGAACAAATGTTAACTGTTGTTAATTCTATGTGATAAAAATACAAATTTTTGCCTTCTTTACACTTTACTGCATAATGTCTCAAAAACAACTAGCGATTTCTGTATAATCCTCTCCCCAAATTCTGTATGTCTCAAAATGTATACAGTTTTATACAATGTCTCAAAAATAATAAATCCTATAAACCAGATTTTCATTTATCTTAAATCCAAAAAGAAAACCAGGAAAACAAAAATAATCAGATTATTGGGATTTACACATATATATATTTTACACTCTACTTTTATGAGAAATAGAAAAATAATTATAAAACAAAGTAGCACCGAGAATTCTTTTTTCAAGATTCAATCTGTCACTTGATTGACAGATTGACTATTATCTTCTAATCTATAAACATCTACAGTAGTATTCAGATAAGTCCATTGCTCTCTAAGGGAAACTGCCTTAATCATAGTTCTTGCTGATGAGGTGGTCATATTCAAAATACTAAACTCTGTCCCCTCCCTACCCACTTTCTCCCTCTCAAAAATGTGAACAGGGTGCTAATGAGATAATCAAAGTGGCTAGCAACAGGAGCAGAAGGTGAAATATCAGGAAGCAGGAGAATTCATCTTAGGCTCTAGATAAATTAAGATAAGGAAAAACTAAAAATAAGAGGTAGAGAAAAGCTACACAGATTGACAGTTACAAACTAGAGTTGGCAGCAAAAAGAGAAGGAAAAGAAATGTAGAGATTGAGAGTAGCTAAGGCACATTTATGGTAGAGAACTAGAATAAACATACACAAACTCTGGTGAGATCTCTAGGGCTTACTTGGTATGACAGGTAGCTTCTAAAAGGATCTTAATAATTCCCACCTCCTGGGTTTCATGCCCTCGTGTAACCCTCTCCTCCTGAGTGGAGATTGGATTTAGTGTCTTGCTTCTAGCAAACAAGGCAGCAGAGGTGACGAGACGTCACTTCCGAGACCAGGTTACAGAGACTAAGCTTCCATCTTGTCACCCTATCTCACTCTCTCACTCAGGGATGCCAGGGGTCATGTTATGAGCTGGGAAGACCCACATGGCCAAGCACTAATGTCTCCAGCCAACAGACAGGAATAACCAAAAAAGCCTGCCAAAAGCCATGCAAGTGGTCTGAGAAGCACATCCTTCCCCAGCCAACCCTTCAGATGACTCCAGCCCCAGCCAACCCTTCAGATGACTCCAGACCCAGCCAATACCCTGACTGCTGCTGTGTGAGAAGCCTCGAGTCACAGGCACTCAGCTAAGCCACGTCTAGATTCCTGAGCCACAGAAATTCTGAAAGAAATGCTTTAAGTCATTAAATTTGAAGGCAGTTTGCTACACAGCAATAGATAACTAATACACTTGGATATGAAGACTTTTGGGTTCTAGTCTCTGGAAGGCCCAGCCATAGCACAGTTCCTATTCTAGGATTTCCATGAAGTTCTTCTGCACTCTATTCCCAAGTGTATCATTATAAAAAATCCTAGCCTGAAAGTCTCTTCACTTTGCAACCAAATGAGACGCATAAAAATAGATGCCTCCTGTAAATAAAAAAAGTTTTAATTATATTCATAGTTTTAGCATAAAACAGTGTATTTATTCCAACTTTTAAAATTATTTAAATACGTAATCATTGTGTACACCAACGTTTCCTAACTGATTACTCTACACTCGACCACTTCGGACAACCTCCTCCATATTATGTAAATGACTACTCTTGTCACTAACACTTCTAAGGACCTATGAAGGCGGGGATTTTTTACTATTTTGTGTACTATATCAACAACACGAAAAAGTATCTGACATACAGCAGGTGTTCAATGAATATCTGGTGAATAAATAAGTGGGTGCCGTTAAACTTAGATCCAAAGTCATCTGTACCATGGCCGAGAAAGGTCTACATCATCAGGTCCCTGACTACTTCGCCTTCTACAACTGTCTCCACTGGTTACCACATGGCAGAAACACAGGCCACTGTGCTATTCTTAACACACACCAGCAAGTCCCTGCTTCAGGGACTTTGTGCTTGCAATTCTCTCAGCCTGGAACAATTTTCCACAAATAAGATAGCTGGCTCCCTCACTTCATTCATTTTTCTGCTCTACAGTCATCACAGAGGCCTGCCTTGACCAACATATTGAAAATAGCTTTGGCCCCTCACATCACGGATCTCCACTCCTTCACACTGCTTTATTGTTTCTCGTAGCACTAAGCACTACCTGACATTTTATTACATTCTAGGGAGGAATACAGGTAAAGGGCAGAACTCTATTCTGTTCAATGTTCTAATCCCCAGCACTTAAAACAATGCCTGGTACACAATAATTGTCAGGTATTTGCTGACTGAATTAATAACCAAGTGAGTCATGACTTTTAAAGGTGTACCAGGATTTAGGTAGTAATAAGTAGTAACAATGCCTATTTCAATTATTATTTTTAAAATTAATGTTACAAACACAGCAACATATAGAAAGGATAATATATCACAACCAAGTATGGCTTATTGCATAAACACAAGACTGGTTCAACATTTAAAAAGTTAACTACTGAAATTCACCATATCAAACGACTAAAACAGAAAAAATATGATCTCAATAGATGAAGAAGAGGCATTCAACAAACTCCAGTAACCATTCGTGATTAGAAAAAAAAACTCAGCAAATTAGGAAAAGGAGGGAAACTGTTTAACCTAAAAAAGAGCAAATATACAAAAGCCTAGAGATCGCTTTATAATTAATGATGAAAGACTGAGTGCTTCTGCCCTAGGATTGGAA